TACCATCAGTGCAAGTTTTACTCTCTTGGTCCAACAAGCCTCATTATCCAAAATCAATGCCTCTATTGTCATTTCATTCGCAATGAAAGGTTAGGCTTCCATCGCGTGATGCATAATTATTCCATCATCCATGACCAAATTGAAGCTAAAAAGCAGACGTTGTCTCTCTGCCCACAGTGAATTTCTAATGTTATGAAAAGAAATACTCAGATGGAGCTCTTTCTCTAAGGACTACAAGAGCTAAGATGCATAAATCCAGATGACCACTTCCATGGTAGCACAGGATTGGAATTGCTCCAGGGATTGTACAATCTTGAAGCCACATCTGGTACTTCTACATTGTATAGCAGAGATCTCTTTGGGATCTTCTTGCTGTGGCAACAAGCAGAAAATCCTCTCTCATCCTTCCTTTGGTGACAACTGAAAACATGCTTCTTCACTTCTTCATTTGTGAGGTAACATCTACTCCAGCTAAAAATCTTTCTCTTAATTCTTGCATTTTTATTCTGTGTTGGTTGGTTTGGACTTAGGTTCAATGCAATTGCCTTGAGGGTAGAAGAAAAGTACATGATTTGTGCGCTTTTTCTCTCTCGGGCTGATACCTTCAGCAACTTCAAGTTGCCTTTCTTTCTTCTTAAAATATGCCTGGAATGGAAAACCCTTCTGATCCAAAATATTACCAATAATGGATCTAAAGAAATGGAAACTATACAAAAGAATAAGTGTGTGATATGCCTGCATCCTTCATTATGATATGGCCTGGCCCAAAAATACTTCTTCAGTCAGGAGACATCTAATACTGATATATCCATTGTGAATTAATGTTGACTAGAACAGATATTTCTATCCCTGCCTGAATCTAGTGAGATCGATACACAGCTCAGGAACCCAACACTGATTTGGCACTGGAACTAAACTTAGTTAGGCAATCACTAGTGCCTAATAAATGGAGCATGTGTGCATGCGCTTGCCTGATGCTCATGCAAGTTTCAGCGGGCCAGTTCCAACAGCTCAAGGCCCAGTAGTGGGGACAAGCTAAAAAAAAATGCTAACTTGTTTCATCTGCAGGCACCCCATTTGAAAAGCAATTGCAATCCACAAAATTTAGACTTACCTGCTGTGCAGAAATCATAAAAGTCAAAGCAAAGGTTAAAAGGAGACGCATCTCGTTTGTTGCTCTTCAGCTCTTCTGGTTCTTCCTGTTCTTCTAAGTGACTTTATTTAGTAGCACTGACACATTTTGATACCTTATTCCTTAGGCCTCATTGCCCAAACCCAATGCCTCTATTGTTACTTTATTTACAATGAAATCTTAAGGCTTCATTACATCATGCACAATTCCATCATCTATGTTCAAGTTGAAGCTAAAAAGCAGAGTGTCTCTATCCACTGTGAAGTGCTAACACCATACAGATAACACATCTTCCTTTAATTTTCCCATACAAAATTGGGCTAAGAGTGTGATTGACCCAAATGTGGAAACTACTTGGTGAAAAGTGCCCCATCAAGCAAGTGCTTGCTTGCTTTGAGATGCCTCCAATATAATGTGCTAATTTCACTTGGCTGCTGAGTCCAATAAGTACCAAAATGGGGTGCAAAATTTGGTCCCATCAGCTTTGGCGAGAACTCTAGGGTCAAGAGGTCTCCTGGCCTCATTTTTGCAGCCTTGTTTTCAGGAGTTAAAGAATGCATTTAACAATTAAATAAAGTAGCCCACTGTGACTTAGACAGATGAGGGCAACCAAGTAAGCATGGTTCAGCATGAATGGGCAGCTGTTTACTGGGCCTGAATCAGAGTAGGTGAGCCCTGTAATTCGTGCCTGTCTGAACCTGTGACTTGAAGTGTCTTTAATTCACTTCAAAATGGTTAAATTGTTGTCCCCAATTTGGGTCTGAGCCTGGTGCTGAGGCCGATGAAGAACACCAGACACGAGGTGCAGATTTTGTTGTCTTTTATTAAAGCACTCCAAGAAAACGGATCCTGGCCAAAATGCCAAGGAACCTCGAACCACAACAACAACAACAACAACAACAACAATAATAATGATGATGATGATGATGATGATGATGATGATGATGATGATGATGATGATGATGATAATAGTAAAGTTGGAAGGGATCTTGGAGGTCATCTAGTCCAACCCCCTGCTCAGGCAGGAAACCCTATACCATTTTGGACAAATGGCTGTCCAGTCTCTTCTTAAAAACCTCCAGTGTTGGAGCATTCACAGCTTCTGGAGGCAGGTTGTTCCACTGATTAATTGTTCTAACTGTCAGGAAATTTCTCCTTAGTTCCATGTTGCTTCTCTCCTTGGTTAGTTTCCATCCGTTGCTTCTTGTCCTGCCTTCAGGCGCTTTGGAGAATAGCTTGACTCCCTCTTCTTTGGGGCAGCCCCTGAGATATTGGAACACTGCTATCATGTCCCCCCTCGTCCTTCTCTTCATTAAACTAGACATATCCAATTCCAGCAACTGTTCCTTATATGTTTTAGCCTCCAGTCCCCTGATCATCTTTGTTGCTCTTCTCTGCACTCTTTCTAGAGTCTCAACATCTTTTTTACATCGCGGTGACCAAAACTGGATGCAGGATTCCAAGTGTGGCCTTACCAAGGCCTTGTAAAGTGGTATTAACACTTCACATGATCTTGATTCTATCCCTCTGTTAATGCAGCCTAGCACTGTGCTGGCTCATATTTAGGTGATTGTTCACTAGGACTCTGAGATCACTCTCACAGTTACTACTATTGAGCAAGGTACCCCCTATACTATACCTGTGCATTTGGTTTTTCTTGCCTAAATGTAGAACCTTACTTTTTTCACCATTGAATTTCATTTTGTTAGATAGCACCCAGTGTTCAAGTCTGTCCAGAATTAATAAAGTTTTATACATTTTCTCTGAAGTAGAAGGCGGGATAAGGTGGGATATATATAAGAAATATCATCTAATAAACATTTCAATAATAATCTAACAATTATTCTATTGGTCTCTAGCATTCCCTATTCCTAATCCTTGGCTAATGAATGCTTCAGGAGTTATCTAATACACATACTATTTGCTCCAGGCCATCTCTATTCCTAGCTTCTAGCTGAGCTTGCAAGATGCCTAAGTCTTTTGTTACTTTTATCAGCTTTTTGACCACACAGAATTGTTACAAGCTTTACACGTGCATATCCCCTGTGAATAAGCATTCTTCGTTCTTGCCTGACAAACTCCACAATTACAGGCTTCCTGGTCTCCTTTCAAGTGTATGCCATAATCTTGCTTTGTTTTGACAGACAGCCCATCAAAATCTTCTATAAACCAAACCAAAAACACAAAGAAAAATAATCATTGTGCAACCAGCAAAATATTACAAATGAATATCTTTGGCCCCACTCGCTATCCGATCCCAATGTTTGGGGGGGGGCACCATGCAAATCTTCAGTCCCGTGGGTCTTGGATATGACTCCTGAGTGATGCTGGAAGGCCTCATTTGGAAGCAAAGCAAAGTAGTTATTTTCAATCTAGTTCCTTTGATTGGCTCAACTACTTGGGTTGGGTCCTCACAACATATTTAATAGACTACTGAATTCCCACGTTTGGGGGAATGAATGGTAAATTTGCCACAGGGGTTGAGTTAACTCTAAGCTCCCCCAAAGTTAACCAGGGGTAAAACAAGCTGTTTACATGGAACTGCTTCATCTTTGATCCAATTATGGGCATCCTGGGCTTTAGGGAAGTAGGAAATTTGTTTGCACCTGTGAAAAGTTTCTTTTTCAATTCATCCAACCTGCAATTGGTAATTAGACAAAGCCATTACATTGGATCAGGATCCAATAATGGGTGGGGATATCTGGGGGTTGAAATCTGCACACCTTAAACTTGCCAAGTTTGAGAAACATTGCTCCCACACATCTAGAGGGCACACATTTGAAATTAAAAATGTTTTGTATCGTTGACAGATCCAATTCAGAAGGCAGAAAAGTAAGCCTGTTGCATTGCTTGATCAAGATGCTTTATTGAAAATGCTGATTAATATTCTCAACTACCGTGTTTTCCTGAAAATAAGCCCTACCCCAAAAATAAGCCCTACTTACTTTCTAAGACAAAAGGTGAACTGAAGCAGGGAGAGGGGGGAGCTGCCCCATGCACCCCACACCCGCTTATCATGCCATAGGACTCCTGTTGCTGTGCCACCGCGAGGCACATCTCACTGTTATTGCCGCCGCCACGAGGTGCGTCCTGCTGCTAATGCTGCCGCCGTGAGGTGCATTGCACCACTGCAAGGTGTGTCCTGTCGCCATCACAAGACACATCCCACTGTTAATGCTGCTGCCACAAGGTGCATCACACCACTGCAAACTGCATCCCACCGTTTCCGCTGCCATTATGATGCATGTCATGGGATGTGCCTCGCAACGGCGGCAATAATAGCAGGATTTGCCTCATGGTGGCAACACCAAAACATACCTCATGGCAGTGGCAGAAAAGGTGGGATACACCTCCCAGTGGAGGTGGCAAAGGTGGGATACACCTTGTGGCGGTGGTGGCAATAGCAGCAGGACATGCCTCATGGCGGTGGCAGCAATGGCGGCAATACACACCTCACAGCAGCGATGACAATGGTGGCAGGATGCACTTCACGGTGGCAACAATGGCGACAGGATGTGCCTTGCAGTGGTGGCAATGTTGGCAGGATGTGCCTCACAGCAGCAGCTGCAGCACAATGGGTTTTGCAGCGGTGACAGCAGCAGGAGCCCTGTGACACTGTAAGCAGGTGCAGGGTGTGTGAGGCAGCTCCCCCCAAAATAAGATGTAATGTCTCTTTTGGAGGCAAAAAAAATATAAGACCGGGTCTTATTTTTGGGAAAACACAGTATTCTTGAGTATCTGACTGATTAATTGATTGATTGAATTACTGGAGCTTGCAGACCACTCAAATTCAGCAGGATTCTAAATGTATTGGCAGAGAGCGAAAAGCTGATCTATGCTACTACTGATCTCTTGCCCTACCCCTTGCTTAGTACGTGATGTAGGAAAGGGTCACATTTCCTGTGATCTTGATAGTTTTGATGTTTTCAATAGGGACATAACGATGGGCGTAGCTGAAGAAGGGCTGGCTGTTGGCATAAATCTTGAACTTGTGGTTGTCACAGTGGATTGAGAGCTGGGAAGAGAGAAAAGGTGTTTAATGTGTCCAAAACAACACATCTGAATCACCTCTGATATTCTAGTGAAGAATAGTGCACACAATCCACAGCTTGCATCAAAATCAAAAAGCACAGTAATCAAGGGGCTGGAGGCTTTGATTGCTTTCCAAGCACTTGAAAACACTTTTGAGTGCTTTTAACTTCCATCCTGTTTTCTCCCCGCTCCCCTGGCAATACAAAGACAATTTTCCAGGACAGAGTTAAAAACAGGATTCTGAACGGTCTTCTGGAGACACCTTCCGGAGGGGGCATTAATCCCACCAGTTTTCTAGAGGTTCAGATTTCAACTCCTCAAAACTATGCTAGTTGGGAATTAAGGCAGATGGAAGGCGCCAGCTGGATCTTCTCTCCATTCCCCACTGCCTATCTGCCTATCTTCTTCCTGGCCAACCTTCCTGGAATCTAGGGGTGTGCGCATAATAGCAATAGCACTTAGACTTATATACTGCTTCCCAGTGATTTACAGCCCTCTCTAAGCAGTTTACAGAGTCAGCATATTTGCCCCCAACAATCTGGGTCCTCATTTTACCGACCTCGGAAGGGTGGAAGGCTGAGTCAACCTTGAGCCTGGTAAGATTCAAACTGCCAAACTGCAGGCAGCTGGCAGTCAGCAGACATAGCCTGCAGTACTGCATTCTAACCACTGCGCCACCACAGCTCATAAGCCAGGTAAAATAGGGGTGATACATGAATTGCATAGCTGTGGTTGCCATATTTTTTTAACCACCCCCCCCTGTGGATATCCCTCCCTGCTGGAATCAAAACCAACTCACCTCAAAGTACTTCTCAGACTGGAAAAGATTAAAGAGCAAGTTGCGTTCCTCAGGTTCCCAGCTGCCATTCAGAAAACTGTTGCACACCATAGTTCTCTTTTCCAGGTGTGGACTAATGGACAGAGCGATGTCCTGGCCAGCCATAAACTTGATTTCAAACCTTGGAAAGAGAGAAAAAGCAGGTATCACTGACTAGGCGTTTGGAATAACTAAAAGGAAATCTGATTTCCTCTTGACTCTTAATCCAATAACAGCCTGTCAGAGGCTTCCATGGATAAAGGCTAAAGAAAACAAACAAACAGCTGTTGTTTTTCTTTGCAAATATTATTTATTAGTAGACTGCTGCTAAATGTGTAAGTTCTATTTAGCATTTTTGGTATTTTTGATATTTATTCTTTGCATTTATGTCGTGCCACAATCAAACCAACTCTATAAATCAGACAAACACATTAAAAATGCAAATTAAGCAGCAGTTTAGCAGTGAATAGCATTCTTCTGATGAAGAACAGCTGATCCCGGCTTAATGATGGTTTGAGTCCTAATCATTCTTTAAAGGCACCTCTAAACCAGAGGTTTCCAAACTCTTTAACTTGCTGACGCCTTCATGAAGTTTCAGATCCCCCACTTTGGTTGGCTCATTAGAGCTTACAAAACACATTAGGCCAATTCTAGAAGACTGTTCAACTGTCTGGAATCCTTACCGCATATTGGACATTAATACAATCGAGCGAGTTCAGAAGTACTTTACAAGGAAAATCTTGCATTCTTCTGTCCATAATATGCTACTAGGCTTGAAATTCTTTCCTTGGATAGTTTAGAACCGCGACCTCTGCAGTTAGACTTAGGTATGGCATAACATATAGTAATTTTAAATTGTACAGAGTAATGCTTTATCTGTAAATGACTTCTTTAGCTTTAATTGTAACATAATTTGTGCAAACAATTGCTTTAAACAATGTAAACTGCTCTAAACTCGATTGTAAAAAATTCAATTTTTGTAACAGAGTTGTCAAAATCTGGAATATTTTACCTGATTTGGTTGTCCCAGCCATTAACTTTAACTTTCACAGTTTTAATTCTAACTTAACTTCTATGGCCCTCACTCCATATATAAGAGGTCCCTAGGGGGGCATGCATAAGGTGCACTAAAGTGCCTATTGTCATTGACACATTTTAATTTTCTTATTTTGCTTGTTTAAATTTGTAATTTTTGTTTGATGAATAAATAATAAAATAATGAAATAAAATAAAACCCTGCTAGCAGCCCTTACTTCTTCTTGTAGTGAATTCCTCAGACTATGTGCGGAATTGTGCATCCACTCCCCTCAACCTCCTTGTTCTCTGGGCTGAGCATGCAGACATTCAGGGGAGATGGGAGAGTTGGAGAAAGGAGATGCACTGGGAAAGATCTATAACAGGACCTAACAGTGTCATTTTGTTTTTGCCAAAGCCAAACCGGAGCCTGGTGTTCAACTTGCAGGCTGGAGGCAATTGGGCTGAAATGTGTGATGTCAGGGAGACACCAGCAGGGTGGGACCTGTGGCACCAAATATAGAAGGACAGTGGGCGCAACGGTTACAGTTCCATTCCTCTGCCTGAACCTCAAAATTCATGTGAAAAAAGAGCCGAGACCTTTTAGCGTTCTTCGGAATAGACCCTCGTACTGTGATGGTCCTGTTGGCTTTTAGACCTCCAGGGATGTCGCATATGTAGGGCACCGGCTGAAATGGGCAAGAATACAGATTACTCTTAATGTCCCCCTCTGACTTATGGCACTTATCCCTGCTAGCTCGGGTTAAGGTAGTTACAGTCGAGTAGGTCTTGGGGTGCCAACAGGGAGACCCTCAACATGGACAGAAGTCAGCTCGTGGGATTTTGCTTTGGATGGATTTTTTTCTGCCCTTTGTGGTTACAAGCCAGTTGTCAGGGTTCCGACTAATGAAACACTTCAAAGAACTTCCAGGCATTGTTTATCCTAAAAAGTCTTTATTCTTTGTGTGACAGAGTGTCAGCACGGCATGGAGGATGCCAAGATCTGAATTTCCCTTCCTTTGCACATAACATTCCAGGCTATTCCCCTCCCCTATTTTGGAGTCATAATTCACATTTTCCAATCAACCTGGAGGGCAAAGATTCACTTCCGTTCCCTTTCCGCGCTTCTCCTCCTCTCCCACCATCATCTGAATTAACTCTAAAAATACCAGACAGTTCTGCATATCTTGTCAAAGCAATAATATCCAATATTAGCAGCGTTGACACCAGGCAGATAAGGCATTGGCTGGGTTCAAGTGGTTTTCTTGCTTAGCACGGATGTCCGCAGGGTATGGTCAAAATAGTCAGGATGGCAGACTGGACCTTCAAGTCCAATCCATGTGCAATGAACCCCCCCAAACATAGTTGTGACAGTGTTGGCATGGCTGCTGGGCTGAAAATTTTTGTTTTGTTTTTTTAATCACATGCTGTGAAAGTCCCTGGTTTACTTCATCACAAAAGACTGAGTTTATAGAACTTGGTTGTAAGAGCTGATTTCCTGGTGCAAACTATAGATCTTTCTTTCTACTCTGCCACACATTAGCCCAACAGCCTTCTTCCAACCCAATTTCTTTGGTTTAACTAGAAATTTCCTGGGTGATGGAGTGTGGGTACCTTTTGACATGGGGAAAAGAGACTAATATTAACCGCTTCCTTATCTATAAAGAAGCCAATTCTTCCTTAAATTTTCCATTCACTGTTCCTTTTTTTCCCCTTCCATGTGATTTTAGAAGCTTGTGAACCAAACCAATCATGCAGTTGGCAGATTACTGAATTTCCAGAATTTCCAATTTCTAGTCTCTTGTTCACCATAACTACCATTTAAGCCAAACACTAGAAAATACTAAGTTCCTTGAATTCTGCATGAATACACTCAGACAAATTCACCACCTCCTGGTTTCTGTTCCATCCCACAAATCTGGGCTAAAGTAAGGAGAGACAGGTTGAGTTAGGACAGGGGTCCCCAACCCCCAGTCCGTGGACCAGTACTGGGCCACGGCATTCCAGCAACTGGACTACACAAATAAGCAAAGCCCCATCCGTGGATACAGGCAGCACACAAAACCACGCACTCTCCAGTCCATGGAAAAACCTTTCTCCATGGAACCAGTCCCTGGTGCCCAAAAGGTTGAGGACCTCTAGGTTAGGAAGTCTCTTAGTACTTACTGGGTAGTAGATTACAGGGCCCATCATTACCTGGTGGGAAAGAAATTCTGTTAACAACTCCATGTTTTTCTCCTAAAATCCCTAGCTCTGAATGACTTTGTAGCTGCCCCCCTTTTTTCCTTCTGAGTATTTACAGGAAGATTTTGTGATGTCCCATATGCAGGACTCGGCAACGTGCCCTAAAGGATAGGAGGGCAACAGTGGCTAAGTTTGTGTGTCACATTCACCCAGGTTAGTTGAAGCTTTCATGGGCGCTTTTCTACTACTTATTCTATTCTATTCTATTCTATTCTATTCTATTCTATTCTATTCTATTCTATTCTATTCTATTCTATTCTATTCTATTCTATTCTACTTTATGGACATCTGAAAGGAAGAGAGCAGGACCTTGGCCTGCGGTAAATTTGTTCTCTGTTCATTTGCTGATGGTTATTTTTGGTAGCATGCAAAGTCTGTAAGCCAAGACAGCTGATGACCCAAAGGGGCCACATTCTTAGAATGGGGTATGAAAAGAGTGCCTGGAGGAGAGAAAGAAAAAGTGGCATCTTAATGGTTGAATCAGCTCAGAATCAATGCCCAAAGAGAGATCAAGGCTCAGGAGGTGTCAACTTGTTGATAGCAAACACTTACCATGTTCCCCTTTGTTGGTCCTCCCATCACGATCAGAGAATGCAGCTGCAAATTTCCATCGACATTGATGTCCTGCACCCTTTGTGGTGGAATTCTGTGCCTATAGGTACAAAGGGGGTTCCTGTTCACCAAGACCTGTGGGATCAAAGGGATCAAGTCTCAACTGGGATCATCCATTTTCTTTGCAGGAAAAAAAACTACCCCAAAGCTGAGCAGGGTGGGCATAGAGAGGATCAAATAGATTAAAATATGTACATGTAAAAAGAGAGTCTGCGGTAGCGCAGTGGTTAGAATGCAAATATCAGAAGTTTGATTCTGACTGACTCAAGGATGATTCAGCCTTCCATCCTTCTGAAGTGGGTAAAATGAGGACCCAGGTTGTTGGGGGCAAGATGCAGACTCTGTAAACCGCTTAGAGAGGGCCGTGAAGCACTGTGTAGTGCAGGAGGTCTTCAAACATGGCCCTTTTCTGACTTGTGGACTTCAACTCCCAGAATTCCTCAGCCAGAGAAACCCTCCCCATTCAAACAAGTATCCCTTGGGGACAATTGCAAAATGTAAGTTTCTCCCTTTGCTAATGGGTACCCCAGAGATACCATCATTGCAATTTGGGAGTCGGTCTTGTTATAAGGAATATAGTAGGTCAGTGGTGGCTAACCTATGGCATGCATGCCAGAGGCGGCACGCGGAGCCTTCTCTGTGGTCACGCGCCATTGCCCCAGCACACATGGTCTCTAAAAGTTCATCATCACTGGCCTAAGGCCAGCCAGTCTGGAGCCGCCATTGGAGAGCCCACCATCCCACCAGCCAAAGACCCCCTGGATCTCTCCCAATCCTGCCCTACCCGGCTCCCACAGGTTTCCCTCCCCATAAGCAACATAGAGGTGGCCACGCCCACCGCGGCCATGCCCATCCAGTCTGCCATGACTACTGCAGCCATACCCATCCAGTGGCCACACCCACCCAGTCTGCCACGCCCACTGTAGCTGCACCCGCCGAGTGGGCCACACCCACCCGGCACCCAGCGATACATAAGTGGGTTTTGGGTTGCAGTTTGGGCACTCGGTCTCTAAAAGGTTCGCCATCACTGTAGTAGGTATTTGAAGCTGTTTTAAAAGGAAACTTAAAACAGGTGAAATGTTTTGGCTGTGCCTGCTTGGTTTCTGCTCTGGGGTATCTGAACAGGGGTCTTCCAACTTGGCCCTTTTATGACTTGTGGACTTCAACTCCCAGAATTCCTCAGCCAGGCAAGTCCACAAGTCATAAAAGAGCCAAGCTTGAAGACCCCTGGTGTAGTGTAATATAAGTCTAAGTGCTATTGCTATTTCACTGATACCCGTTTTCTTCCCCTTCACCAAAATGTTTTCCCTTCAGCCACAGGTTGTCCTCATTTAGTGTCCGTTTGCAATTAGGACAGTGATGAAACAGTAACTTTGAGACCAATCCTGGCATTCACAACTTTCACAGGACTGTAAAGCAAAGTAAAGCTGAAGTGCGATTAGAAACACAGTGGTGGTTTCTTTTAGGAACTTCATTTAATGATTAAGTGGTTGGTCCCAGTTGTTGCTAAACAAGGACTACCTGTACATCACTTAAACCCTATCTGGAAGATATGAAATTGGGAAAATCAGTATTAAATACATTCATGATTCATTCCAGAAAAATTGTGAATACTGGAGGGGGGAGGAGGAAACAAAGAGGCACCTGCAGTCCCAAAAAAAAGATCTGTCACATGAACCAACCTCGTATTGGTCTTTATGGACAATGAAGATGACCTCAAATTGCTCATTTTCCCGGAGGACCATCTTGTGTTTCTCTTCCCATCCCCACCTGGTACCATGAAATGTGTTGAGTCCAATGTGATTATGAACAAAAGTAGGGATGAAGTGGAGGGCAATGTTGCTCGACTCACTATAGGTACAGGCAAGGTTCACCCGGAACCACACTGGGAAACTGGAAGAGAGAGAAAGAGAAAGAATAAAAGAAGAGGAAAATTAAATGGGAGGTGCAGGAATCTCAGAATAGAGTTCTCTTCTCCCCCCTTCTCCATTGGCCTGAATCTGGAATCTATAGGATAGTGATTTTTTGCTTGAGGAAAAGAATCAAGTTCCTCACCCTCATGGCTTAGTTGGAGTTGGAAGAAGCAGGAAGTGGAACTACCTGAAGAATTAAAAAGTCTTTAGTCTTGGCATGGAATTTGGCTTATCTAAACAACCCTTCATAGCATAATAATCTTATTACTATTATTTTGAGTAAGATAGCATTATGTCCCTCCTATGAGCCCCCAAAGGAACATTACCTTTTGGAGTGTTTGGGCACTGTGCCTTCCACATGTACAGACATTCCAGGATGGAGTCCACCAGTGACAGGTTGATGGTAAGGGAGAATCTGGAACAGAGAAAACAATGAAGCAAACCAAAGACTCTAGAAAGAGCACAGAGAAGAGCAACAAAGATGATTAGGGGACTGGACGCTAAAACATATAAGGAACGGTTGCTGGAATTGGGTATGTCTAGTTTAACAAAGAGAAGGACGAGGGGGGACATGATAGCAGTCTTCCAGTATCTCAGGGGCTGCCCCAAAGAAGAGGGAGTCAAGCTATTCTTCAAAGCGCCTGAAGGCAGGACAAGAAGCAACGGATGGAAACTAATCAAGGAGAGAAGCAACCTAGAACTAAGGAGAAACTTCCTGACTGTTAGAACAATTAACCAGCGGAACAACTTGCCTCCAGAAGCGGTGAATGCTCCAACACTGGAAGTTTTTAAGAAGAGACTGGACAGCCATTTGTCTGAAATGCTATAGGGTTTCCTGCCTGAGCAGGGGGTTGGACTTGATGACCTCCAAGGTCCCTTCCAACTTTATTATTATTATTTTCCCCCTTCTTTCCTTTATCTATGAGCTGTGGTGGTGCAGTGGTTAGAATGCAGTACTGCAAGCTAATTTCTGCTGACTGCCACCTGCCAGCAATTCAATCCGGACCAGTTTAGAAAAGTTGACTCAGCCTTCCATCCTTCCGAGGTTGGTAAAATGAAGACCTAGATTGCTGGGGACAATACACTGATTCTGTAAACCATTTAGAGAGGGCTGTAAAACACTCTGTATATAAGTCTAAGTGCTATTGCTATTGCTATGAGAAAAGGAGGATCTTATATATCACTTGCCAACTGCCTGCATTAGTCGCTGCAGATTTCCTGGCATAGTAATTTGGAAGTGGTTTGTCTTATCTCCTTCGTAGGACTGAGGAAATTGGCTCAAGATCCCCCATCTGGCTTTGTGGCCAAAGCAGAAGTACAACTCAAGGTCTCCTGGTTTTCAGTTTGATGCCTTAATCACTATACCTAGCTCACTCCTTTCCTTCCAGCAACACTTAATTATACTTTAATTAAATAGCAAAGAGATTAATTTTAAAGGGGGAAGATACTCTGGATAGTGTTACTCTTGATAGTATTGAATGTTTGGCGAGTAGCTTAATAAGCTTTCTCTGCTCTGCTCTTTGCCCCTGACAGCCTTTTTTCTCTCCCCCACAAATTCTCTCTGAACTGTGAAAGAAAAAAAGAGGTTTGGTGATACAATCCCTCATGCCATCTTTCAGAGTATGTGGGAATGACCACACACAGAGGGATGGCTGTTCCAGAGGACACATTTGATAGCAGCCACCCCAATAGAAGAAGGGGACGACAGAGAAGGAGGTGGATGGATGGAGTCACTGAAGCAGGAGGCGTGAGCTTAAATGGACTCCAGAAGATGGTAGAGGACAGGAAGACCTGGAGGAACGTTGTCCATGGGGTCGCGATGGGTCGGACACGACTTCGCAATTAACAACAACAACAACCACAACCCCATTTTTAGCTTTAGGGAAGACTGCTGGACCAGAAAAAAAATCTTTGTGAAGCAGCAGAAAGGAGAATTGGGAGAGAGAGAAAAAAAGACTGTCAGGGGCAAAGAGCAGAACGGAGAAAGTCCATTAAGCAACTGGCCAAGCAAAAGAATAAACCTTCTAATAAGTGACAATTGGCTGCAGCCTATGTAAGATATTTGCACTGCCTCTGTTCCTTTTGCTGACATCTGGCTCCTGTGACATTTATGTGTGGATTTTGCTTCTTGGAGTTTTGATTTCTGGAGTGGCTGAGAATTTTGACCTGGCTCTGAAACCTTGGACTGACTCGGGATGAATCTTTGGCATGCTTCCATTGACAAAGCAAATTTTACAGGGAAGTCTTGACTTCATTTACATTCCTTTGTTCACTGTAAATTTTTCAGACTCAAAATAAACTGATAATTGCCCAAGAAACTCTGTGTTTGTGTGCATGTGGGTTTGTGTGGGGATGAAAAGACTTGCTCTACCTATGTTCCCTTTGTTGACATCTGGCTCCAGTGACAGACAATAATAATAATAATAATAATAATAATAATAATAATAATAATAATAATAATAATAATAACAACAACAACAACAACAACAACAATAACAATAACAATAATAATAATAATAATAATAATAATAATAATAATAATAATAATAATAATAATAATAATAATAATAATAATAATAATAATAATAAAAAAGTTGGAAGGGACCTTGGAGGTCATCAAGTCCAATCCCCTGCTCAGGCAGGTAACCCTATACCATTTCGGACAAGTGGTTGTCCAGTCTCTTCTTAAAAACTTCCAGTGTTGGAGCATTCACTGCTTCTGGAGGCAGGTTGTTCCACTGGTTCATTGTCCTCACTGTCAGGAAGTTTCTCCTTAGTTCTAGGTTGCTTCTCTCCTTGTTGAGTTTCCATACAGACAGAACTGATACAGTGCTGGCTTAGACTGAATTCAGAGAAGTTTGAAAATGTAATGCAGAGTAACAACCAGAAGAATTTTACAGCATTTCTACAGACATAATAATAATCCCAGGCCGGCTGAAGGCCTCGGCGAGGTGGGCGTAGGTCCTGGAATTGGGGAGGGGGGAGGGTCTGCCTAATAGAGGGCAATTCCATTAAGACTGTTTATGGGAGGGGTAGATATGGCGGGAGCAGAGGGCCATATCACACTAGGGGAGGGCGCACCCGCTGTAATGCTCGACACCGCGCGAGGCCGGGGGTACCGAGAAGAACGTTGGATCCCCCAAATCCTAGAGTCCCGGACCC